TCTAAGGACCACACCTGCCATCTAAGGACCACACCTGCCCTCTAAGGACCACACCTGCCCTCTAAGGACCACACCTGCCCTCTAAGGACCACACCTGCCCTCTAAGGACCACACCTGCCATCTAAGGACCACACCTGCCATCTAAGGACCACACCTGCCATCTAAGGACCACACCTGACATCTAAGGACCACACCTGACATCTAAGGACCACACCTGACATCTAAGGACCACACCTGACATCTAAGGACCACACCTGCCATCTACGGACCACACCTGACATCTAAGGACCACACCTGCCATCTAAGGACCACACCTGCCATCTAAGGACCACACCTGACATAGCCCTGGCTGGAGGGAGGCCGGGAAGACCCGGGGAGAGGCGCTGAGGCCACGGCCTCCATAGGGACGCTGGCCTCATCGTCGTCGGGATGTGTGGCCCTCATAGGACCACGTCGTGGTGCGGGGACCACACGAGGGGGGGTAGGGGGGGACTCCACAGCAGGGGGAGATGAGGGGGACTTGGGGGAGTCGATGGAGCCAACACCAGAGTCAGGGTGATCCCCCAGGTCACCCAGCACCTCCAGCTGGTCTGGGGGGGTGGGGGGAGCGATTAGTTATCATTAGTTAGATAGTTAGATGATTAGTTATGATTTGTTAGATGATTACGTAGTTAGAATCATTAGTTACACCAGAGTCAGGGTGATCCCCCAGGTCACCTAGCACCTCCAGCTGGTCTGGGGGAGTCGGGGGAGCGTTAGGCGCTGAAATGTACTGAATGATTAGTTAGATGATTAGTTTGAATGATTAGAGAGTCTGATTAGTTAGAATTATTAGTTGGAATTAGTTAATTAGTTTGGTTAGAATGATTAATTAACTAGTTTAAATAGAATGATTCTCTATAATACATGTATGATTCTAACTAATCATTTAGAATGATTAGTTAGAATGATTATTTGAATGATTGTTCAATTATGCCAAATTGAAACCTGAAATCAAAATAAAGATTCAGATAAATTACTTCTCAAACAATTACTGTTACTTTTTAAGTAAGTACACATAGAAAGCTTAAATAAAATCGATAATATTCAATATTTCAATAATATTACAGCGATAATTCATAGAAAACAATATTATTTCTCATGTGCAGCTCACCCCGCGGGGCCATGGCCTTCAGGATGGCTGGGTCCACGGGGGCCTCGCCCCCCACGGGCGACGCTGGGCCTCCTGAGCCTATGCCCAGGTCTTCACCGCCCCCTGGGGCACACGAGTCACGTCGGTCTTCATTAGGTAAATTGATAATTTTTAATTTAAAAATATTTAATTGAAAATTTTTAATTTAAAATTTAATTACAATTTTCAATTAAAATTTTTAATTGAAAACTTTTGATTTAAAATTTTTACCTATTTAAAAACTTATAATTGAAAAATTCCCTTAGAACAACTTACCAGTCACGGTGTCTCAACGCAATCAACTCATAATCATATACCTAGTTGTTTGACGTCATTTGTATGAACGGACGCTGCGTAGTAATAAGTGTGCATATAGGCCTAGATACACGTAGAAAACTAGGTACACGTAGAGGACTACATATATAGGTTTAGCGTAGCGGTCTAAGTAGTACATAACGTCCCAAGTTCGCGCAGCGGCTGATTTCTCGTCTGTGATTGGTGGGTTTAGCTCGAAAAGCCGGTAGGGATTGGCGTACGGAGAAAAATAATCGTAAATATTTTCATAGAACGGGTCCAGGTCAATACTCGCACATTCACCATAAACAAATTCCTCATATATAGTACCATATATGGCAGTCCATGTCGCCCGCTATATAGTATCGTTTGAGCCACTGCTGCCGCACTATAACAAGTCACTAGTTACAATATTGAAGAATTAAAAGCTAATTTAGCAAGACGCAAGAACGGTTTTGTCGATGTGGACAAGATCGCTCGAATATTCTATTATAAAGTGGGATTTATACCACCACATTTCCAAAAAAAAGGTGAGATGCAGCGATGAAAGCACCTACACATTTCAGTGAAAATGCGACACACGATGGAGAAAGTGTTCATAATTTCAGGAGTGGGCGACATACGGCAGTGAAAGCTCTCATAAATTTTATTATTAGCAGGACAGACGAAAGTGATAGCACCCAAAATTTCAGTGAAAAGGCCACACACAGCGACAATAGCTTCAACAATTGCAGTGAAAAAGCCACACGGCGATGAGAGCTCGAACAATTTCAGTCGAAAATAAAATTCACGCCAGTGAAGTTTCTCCTAATTTCAGGGAAAGGGCAACATAAGGCTGTGAAAGTTTGTAACATTTCAGGGATGAGACTGAAAGAAAAAAAAAACACACACAGGGCCAAACGCTTTAATTATTTCAATAAAAAGGGCAACAGGCGGCTTAAACAATTCTATAGAAGAATTGAAAAAAAACAGGGGATTAGGAGGCACAGGCGACTGAGCTCCCAAGCGAGATTGAAACGTGCGATTCGACACAGAAATTGTAACTGATGACGAACGCGGCCAGGGACATAACTGGCGTACGTTGCAGCGCCAAAAACCTTTTCAGAAACAATTAAAATCAAAACTTTGATTGTGAACTTGCGTCCAGAGATACATATGAGGTGAACAACAATATTTGCATTATTAAAAATTCCAAAAAAAGTGCGGAGTCGAATACCGCTCGCTGTAAACATGCATAGCTGCCATCACTCATAACCATGTAGTTCACGCCGTGAAACTAGAGAGACATAACCTCTGGCACGCGCATGTCTTGAAGAACGCTTCACCGTGAAGATGAAGTGATCAGCAACATGAGCTGAAACTCACCGAGTTGAAATATTTACTATCCACTTACAAAATATTATACCCACCGAGAAGACTTTATTTGTCATCTAGCAAACATGATCACATAACGACAAAAAAGACACACACACCGACACATTTTTTTATCGCGGTGTGCAAATTTATTATTCATGCGCAGGTAGATATTTTGTATTCAAGCGTAATAATTTTTATTCGTGCATAAAAATTTGCAGCGAAAAAAAATGTTCAATCCCAATGTAACATTATCCACTCCGACGTGCTCACCAGGCGCCTCATCGCCATCCAGAAGGTCAGGCGGCGGTTGGATGTCATCAAGATCAACATCGTCATCCAATAGGCCCGCATTGTTGTCAACGTCAGCTGCCGCTTCATCGCCACCAGATGCTTCGTAATCATAAAATTTTTTACCGCATTTGACAAAATTTTCCCAAGCTCAAAAACTTTTTAAGTTAATCAAACAACCGCTAGTTGAACTTTGAACGAAGAAACATGCTACTCCTGGGTGCTTGTACACGGGGACAGTAGTGGCCGCTAGTACAACTTTCGAACGTAAATCACCACTAATTATCATGTTCTGGCCTCGAGTTAATGGGTGCTACTGGGTCCTACCGTAGCCAGTAGCGCATATACAAGAGGCTAATAGGTATATAACATGGTAAGTAAATATAACACATATACAAGAGGCCAATATATAGCACAGTATGATAAACGCCTATAACACATATACAAGAGGCCAATATATAGCACAGTATAATAAATACCTATAACACATGTACAAGAGGCCAATATATAACACGGTAAATAGAGGCGGCCAGTACACTTCTGCTAAGCTGGCAGGAGCATCGCTAAACGAATGGCTGAAAAAGAATCCAGTCACGTCCTGTCAGGGGCAACTTGCATGCGGTCCATCATAATTCATTGAAGAAGTGGATCAAGGCATTACCCTTATGATTCGAGTTTGTGTTAATAACTCTATTCACGACGAATGAGAATATGCGTGCATTGACGGTAATGATACGTAGAAGTGTTAATAATTAATCGAGGGCAATTTGAGCCGGTGACAATTATAAGATCTTGTGCAGGAAACATAATTCCAATGAATTCCAATGTTGCAGAAACAAATGGAAGCAGTCAATACAAAAGCTAAGCGTTTCCATTAACGCATGTCTGAAAAAATCAAGATACTCTAGTCTAGTTTTACCTTTCCTTGAACTTAAAACTAGATCTTAATGTCAATCAACGGAACTTGCGGAAATGTCACGCGAATATACGGTATTACGTATTTACCTAACGTAAATAGTACGTTATTAGCTTTTACATTATATTAAATTACGAATTTATTGCGCACGCGAATTTTTATGCATTATAATTAAAATTATTTACATTGCATCAGAATTCAATTCTTACAGATTACATAAATTTGAAGTTTAATGGTAGGTATGCAATGAATCTCACTGAAAAATGACACTTCAGCGTTCTTAATAATAACAGATTTACGACATGTTTATCTCCCCGTGTAAAATGAACACTTTCATTAATCAGACGGCAGCGAAATTCGATGTTACTGACATGTTTAGAAATCTATCCCGGGGTTTTTTCCGAGGTGAAGGTATTTACGAAATGATGATTAATTTTTCTCCAAAAGCAACGGCGACAACAGGTCCAGTATTCGTGCTCGATAAAATGGTCACAAAAATTGAGTGACATCTGCCTTCCCTTTAAATTTCTCACAATCATGACAAGTCACCATTTATTGGAACTGCATAAAACGTTAATGGATATATCCGTAATAGGCATTCAAGAAATTCTCTATAAATTATATAGAATAATTTTTTGACATCGAAAGCTATTAATAATATAAGAAACAGCTGAATATCGTTTTCAGTTTAGTAAAAAATTAGCTACAAATTTAAACTGACATAGTACTTGATACAGCGTTCGTTTTACCAGACAAAATACCAGAGCAAACTTACTATTTGAGTCGTCAGGCAACTCGTCGGGCAAGACTTCTGGCATGGCTTCCTCGGGCATGGCTTCCTCAACAGCTTCTTCAGGAGCCTAAAAAAATGCCTTTAAGTTTACAAACATTCAGATTGATATGAACACGATTATTTCGAAGTGAGCTTCGCAGACCTAGATGCCTAATGTGGCCCTTGCCACTAGGCATACAACGTTGAAATAACGTTAAATAAAAGTTATTTACACGAGATCAACCAGTGATCAACGTTGCTTTAACGTCATTTGCATTGAAGGTTATACTTCTTAACGTGTTGATCTGATGGCAAACGCTATCTCGATTTTGCCAAAATCTAAAATAACAACTAAAACTGGAAGTAAATGTTATGAATGAGGGCGCAGGCATGCAATCCTATATACTGGAATGTTACACATGGGTTTTCAAACTTGCACTAACCCACAATATTAAAAATAAATGAAACTTTTTCATTTGAAGAATGGATCTATTTTATAGAAGACTGTTTAAAACAATGTCGCGGTGATATTTTGTTAACTAAACCCTCTATGAAAAGGAACCAGTTCTTCGGAAAAATGCCGTCAGCTGTAGAGGAATTACTAGATATTTTTGACCAAAATTAACATATTTCATGAGCAAAATCCGGCAAATGAAAATATATTTTACTTAACCTGATGGACAAAGACAAGTTCGAGGTAATTAAGCCACTTTTAAGTCATACGACATAACCTATAAAATAGTATATTATTCTTAAATGTTTAGGGATTTTATCACATCAGCTGCATCAAATACCCTTGTCAGCTACTACATCAAATAACCTTATCAGCAACTACATCAAATAAACTTATCAGCAACTACATCAAATAACCTTATCAGCAACTACATCAAATAACCTTATCAGCAACTACATCAAATAAACTTATCAGCAACTACATCAAATAACCTTATCAGCAACTACATCAAATAAACTTATCAGCAACTACATCAAATAAACTTATCAGCTACTACATCAAATAACCTTATCAGCTACTACATCAAATAAACTTACTGCTACATCAAATACCCTTATCAGCTACATCAAATCACCTTATCTCCGTCGTCAGCGGCGTCCGCTTCAGCCGGGGCGGCCGCTGCTGCCGCGGGGGGCGGCGCGTTCTCCTTGCCGGAGCTGCGCGAGACAAGCATTAAATTATCAACACAGAACTTAACAGCCATTTATTTTCAAATTCATTCATTTTTTGACAAAAATTATCATAATAAATTATTCTTGTAGTTCAATCTGCGAATAAATACATCTTGAAAAAACTAAAACCCTAGTGGTGGCATGAGTCATGAAATAAAATTCCCATTTTCATTCTTCAAATGTTTAGAGACTCCATCGTATCATTCCATCGTTCTTGTCGTAATATTGACACACTTCATACTCTTTAATGCACAAAAATAACAGGAAAGCAACGAATATCTCCTGACTTAAAAATCTTAAAACTGTTATACATTAACAATGAAACATCATAAATTACAATTGAATAAATAACAACTAAACTCTAGACGAGAGTCAAAAACGAAATTCTGTTTGATACGAAAGGTTTACCTCGCTAACAACTGAGCTGATCTGATCGTGAGGACTTTTCAGACAGGCCAGGCTTGTCAGCTTACCGTGAAGGTTTATCAGAGCGGCCAGGCTTGTCAGCTTACCGTGATGGTTTGTCAGAGCGGCCAGGCTTGTCAGCTTACCGTGAAGGTTTGTCAGACCGGCCAGGCTTGTCAGCTTTGCCAGGATTGACAAGGCTGTCCCGCCGTCGAGCGCCGCGGTCAGCCGCAGGCTTCTTGTCACGCGCCGGCCTTCGCTTGTCATCCTTGGAGGTGTCGCCGGGCTTGACGCGACCCTTGCTTGCCTTGTCATCCTTAGCGCGGCTCTGCGCATGCGTGGTTGGCAGTGAACAACCGCAATAATGACAAAGACAATAAATACACCATTAAAAACATGTTAACATGAGTGAAGACAATTAGAAACAATTGATGACAATAATAATAAATAAAATATCGAACTTAAATGCAAGTAAGAGATATTGGAAACTGATGGAAACAATGAGAGAAGAAAATCGGAGAGAATTAAAATAAACAATGAAATGAAACAGAAAATGAGTAAAGTGAGGAATAAAAAATAATAAGTAATGTGACACAAAATGTAAGTAAAACAGCTAATAAATAGAGAAAGGATGAGGTGAGAAACAAGGAGTTATAAATAATTATTTTTATCAGTGACTATTATCAAATGAGAAAAAAAAGAAGTAAGACACAACAGTAAGAACAATTGAGAGAAAAAAAGAAAAGAATGAGAAGTGAGCAGTAACCCACCCTCCTGTTTAATCTTGCCTGCAAACACAGATGTTTGAAAAAAGATCCCCGAGACATCACATATAAATGAGTCATCAACTAAGGTTTCCGAAACAATTCACTTGCAAAGTTTCTAAGACTAGCCAAAACATGTGGGATGGCCGGTGTTAATGGAAAAATAGCTATGTCACCCAATAAATCAACATGTTATAATAAATAAACATGTTAACANATTTACGTTTTATTACGTAATTTACATGCCGTGTGCACGATGCATGCAATACAATGAAATTCTTCAAAACTCATAACAAGTTTATGAAGCATGCGATAAACTCAGATTATTTATAACACGAACTCTATCATGAAAAATGCAATAAGTAAGTTCTGTTCAACAAATGTTTAAACAAATAAGAAGACAACATAACACGCACACGTTCATCAGCCTTGCACTTTATAACATTCCGGTACTACTTATTTCTACAAAAAATGAGTAATTCTTTGAGTTCTTCAAAATATCCCAGATTAAATAAAACAAACCCAGGATCAAAGACAATGACAATATTGAATAGGAAATTAAAGACAAAGACAACAATTTGATGAAGACAATTAGGCTTCCTCAAACTGCATAAATATGGTACTTACATGCAGTTACAATCATACCTGGTGTATGTACACATTTGTAGCTATGCAGTCCAAGGAGGGTTGTAGACAACAATAATAAAGGCAACGACAATCAAAATAATTAGAGACAATTGATGAAAGCAACAATAGCGACATTGCTGACAAAAATAATAAAGAAAATATAAACTTAAATGCAAGGAAGAGAAATTGGAAACTGATGGAAATAAAGAGAGAATAAAATCGGAGATAATTAAAATGAACAATGAAATGAAAAAGAAAAAGAGTACAGTGCGAAATAAAATTATATAAGCAATGCGCTAAAATATAAGTAAAATAGATAATAGTTCGAGACAGGATGAGGTGAGGAACAATGAGTTAGAAATGATTATTATCATCAGTGATTATAATCAAATGAGAGTACCGTAAATAAGAAAGATAAACAGTAAGAAAAAAAGAGAAAAAAGAAAAAGGGAATGAAAGTGAGCAGTAATCTATTCTCCTTTTCGATCATGCTTGCAAACAGAGGTTTGAAAAAATAACCCTGAGACATCAAGTGTAAATANGTGTCAGGACGGGCATGAGTGTCAGGACGGGCACGGATATCAGCACGGTACCTGAGTGTCAGCAGGGCGCGCTAAGGAAGATGTGCGCACAACTCTGCCCCGCGTCAGGCTGCCATCAGCTGGAGAGCTGCGGGAGGAGGGCTTACTGAGGGGCTCCTTAGGGCCTCCTTTGCCGAGAGCTGGTCCTCTGCCAGACGGCCTCTCCTTGCCTATGGTTTGGCCACTTGTAATTGTTGCTTCCTTAGATTTCAAGGATGCAATTTTATTATTTTGTGAACCTAAATTTCTGTTATTTGTTGTTGTCTTAATCAGCGGATTCTTCACTGATGGTCTCCGACTGTCAGCCCTAGGTATTTTATTAGAATTCTTCATCGATGATGCAATACTCTCTTCATGATTGTTATCATGTAAAGACTGCTCTCCTGCAGCAAATACTTCAGTGTCGACGCTGGAGGCGTCAGCATCAGATGCTCCATCAGCAATGTTGTCTGTCCTGGTATCCTCTACAATAATTCCAGGTTCGTCATCCAAGGCCTTGGTCTTTTTTACGGAGCCAGCAACATCGTCATCCTGACGGTCGTCATAGGACAGAGTTCAAGTAAAACAGATTAACAGAAATAACTGACAGGAAAGAGATCAGAGAGGACGTCGCAAATCAGCTTTATTTAAGAACCAAATCAGCTTTATTATCAGCTTTAAGACAGAACTGGTAGTGATAACTCAGGGAATCAAAAACACATGCACACTCCATGCAAGCATTTAAGAAAATTCACTTACGACATATGAAAACGTTCAACTTTCACAGCATGATTTAAAGGCAAAGCAATTTCTATGGGTTGTTACTTCAAAAATACAAAAAATCTTACATCCAAAATTAAAGTGTCAGGGAAGACACAAGAACAAAACTACACCAAGACGTTAAAAAGTCACATCATTCGTCTTGATGGTTTAGGCAATGGATTCAAAACAATCACAAAAATTTCCTAAATTCACAAGCAAACATTTAAAATATAGCAGGGTGACAAATATTGCAGTGCCTACAGAACAAATGTACGCACTCTTAAATTTTTATGGATCACAAAAATAAAGTTCAGATGCAATGAATCATATCTATTAACCCACTTTAATAAATAAAATGAACAAAGAATTTACGTAAATAGAAGAAGCAGGCTCACAAACTGATATCAATCTTACTTAAAGCTTAAATTTTGCTTTCATGAGAATCAAATGGCCATGCAAATTGTGACAATAGTCTCATGCACACGAGACGCTGATAGCATCGACAAACAGGGTGGACAGTAATTCTTTTGTTCAAGATCCAGGTTTTGAAATGAAAAAAAATAATAAGACTGTTGATTGTCTTTTTTTTTCTTTCATGTCAAACCATTCATGGCCAGGCTCCTTGCACTGCCTACAAACCACTCAACAAAATGTTTGCAGTTTGCCAAGATTGAAACCAAGCTTCATGGCAACCATCTTGATGTGCTTGACCACTCAACAACTACCGATTGAACCACCAATACTATAGGTAACACCACTGCCAGTTCCATCATTGTGAATCTTAATACATAGACCAAGCCATCCAAAGACAACTCAATGACTAAGATGATGGAATTGGCAGAAGTGCCAATAGCGCTTAGCTTCATTATAAAAGAAATTAAAATTGAATAGAAAATACTGATTATAAATAGAAAAACTCACCTTGGACTTCTCAGTTGATCTGCTTGGCTTCTCTTTTGTCTTGCCCTTAGATGGTTTTTCACCAGCAAGAACTCTCTTTACTGCTTCATCAGAATCAGCCTACCAGAAATCAGAAGATACCAGTACTGGTAGGTATAATATTATCAACAGTTGAGACACTTTGTACCTATTAAATATTTTTGAAGATATACGGTACATTCCAGGTTGACGACTCATTATGATTTCTAACACATGACATACACACAGCCAATGTAAATGCATTTGGGACAGACTTATTCCATTTAAATAAATACACATTATTGAGAGTTTCAAATAATAATAGTTCATATTTGTAACTTTTTAAATGACTTCCAGGATTGTTGAATAGTATGTTAACACATTCAAATGATGAACAAATCACAATCATAAATTATGTCACAAGCATGTTTATATAATTACACCTCATATATTGAACTAACACATTTTAAATAACCAACCCATAATTCATGCGCTCAAACAGTCACCTTGTTGTCAATGGCTTGGGCCAGGGCTTGCAGGAATTCATTTGTTTTATCTGCCTCATGACCGGAGACAATTTTGCTTGGTCGCACAGTAAGATTTTCACCTGTGGCAAATACTGAGACAAAAGAAGAGGTCAAAACTGATACTAGTCAGGAAAAGGATGGTTTCATCAATTTGCAAAAGACATTCATCATGAGATATGATTCTACCATGAATTCAAATTCATGAAGAGAATTGGTTTTATTAAATATAATTACAATGAAATTCTGAGAAGTTAAAACCCAACTTAACAATGTTTTCAATTTACAAAGATATTTTTTGAATACCATAACAAACAAACACATGCAGTTTTGACTTACTTGTTGCATCTATACATTTTTCAAGGAAGGAGATCTTGGCATCTTTGTCTTTGATGTTGTCTTTATTTAACTCAGCATCTGTATAAAGTCCTTGGAGAAAACCAGTGTTGGTGATCACCTGCAAACATGAAAACCTTTAGAAAAGACTCGCACAATGATCGACTACTACATACATTTCCATTCTAATTAGATGACATAAGACATAGGGGGTACCTACTTCAGTTTTTTCCTATTTTCATTTGGACAGTAATTTTGTGCCACAGTTTGTACGTATAGAGCTGTTAGCCAAAATAAATCATTTCTTTTTATTTGCTTGCAATCAATGTAAATGGGGGTAAAATTTCTGAGAATAAGCTATGAAATGCCAATACTTTTACCTATATGTTTTCAGTTTTGCTTTTGCCCAATGATTCTGTCATGGGCAGCATTGAGATATTATGTTTCATCTCTATGATTTGTTATTTTAAATTTGATTTTTAATAATTAGAGAAATCCCAATAAGCTCTCTAAAAAATCATAGATGATTCACAGAAGGAGATTCCAAAAAGATGCAGGATGCTATATGTTTAAGTTTTAACTTTTAAATTAATCATGTTTCAGTGCAAAAATGAATCATATACTGAGTCCTGCCAGGCTGCCATCGATTGCCACCTGCCAACAGTTTTCGGCCATTGATTGTTTGCAGCTTGCTGCCATTGTTCAACACGTGTTGCCTCAAAGTGCTCTAAAAAGTTCTATGATGGATTTGGATTATGGCATATAAAAATTATAATTGACTAATAAGACAATAGTTTTTGCACTTGCTCTCTAAATTTGAGGGCTTGGCCAGAAAACCTCCAGCTCCAGTCCTCCTGATAACAGTTGCAACTTCAAACAATTGTGCATTTGTCAATGATTTGTGTTTGATGCCATGCCAATTTCTATTGGTAAAAATTTATATAATTTTACATAAAATTATAAATAGAATAGGCACCATACTGCCATAGGAATACATAGGCTACCAGCCTACCACCATAGGATGATAGGAATGATAGGAATACCAATCATTACCATGGTACCGGTACCACCTTTTGAGTGACATACCTACACTTTATTTTAAAACTATTTTAACAAATTTCTTTACAAATGCCCAAATTAAATATTTTTCATACCTAAAAAAATGTAATTTTTTTATTAATAAGGAATAACCTTCAATAAGTGAATAAATCAAAAGTATATAACTACAACTATTAATACAAATCAAAAGTTAAATTCTTCACGATTGATTGCAATTTTTGAAGTCAAAGTATTTTCAGATATAAAGCACCACATTAAAAAATCCATACGTAGAACTGTACAATATAAATACTTACAGAATTTATTACATCGTGAAGGAATTTAAAAGGAGGTTTATTTAATAACTTGGCCGTTAGGGACGGATTGGTTACATATTTTCCTAATTGGTCTTGAGTCAGTTTAATTACCGCAGGATCTACAGCATCAGCCATTATTTTTAAAAAGGTTATTATATTATTTCTTCACAGTTGCGTTCGAAAAATACTAAATATCTAAGACTATCAACGAGATCACAGTGACACAGTCGAGGATTGCCAATGCAACAGTGTGGGCATACCGAGGACGTTAGCGATAATAAACTTGCTGACAGAATGCCGAAATGAGAACATTTTCTATCAATACACATTCTGCTGAACTTTTGTAGGGTACGATGCTTTTCAAAAAGCGTCTTAAAGAACATTCAAGACTCTTATTGTCTCTATGGCAACGGATGTAAACAAATCACTTCTTTATATTCGGCGCTCACCGCAGAGTAGGAGCAATTGCGATTGGAAAAAATCACGACTCCTAAAAATTTAAATGGTTGTCCTATTCAAGGTGTCCCAACTCAGAGCATTTTATTATTTATACATAAATGAAACAATAGTCGGTTACTCAACATGATTCCTCTGGGAAGGACGAACAAATTGCATAAACTATATAATTATATAGTATTGCTATAAATTATATTACATTATTATAGTTATATCGTTCTGACACAGTTCTTTTTCGGTATTATCTTACGCGTGTTATCTTACTTAATTATACAAGATTCATCACACTTGACTAATAAAAATGTGAGCTCATCCCATACCCTGATAAGATTTAAACGTATTTTCCTTATTCAACTGATATTTATTGATTTTGATACTTTCATGGATAGGAGCGTTGTCATGGAGCTTGGAGGATCTCTTAATATATTTTATAGGTTCATATGTTAATTCGACTTAAGAACTTGTTGAGAATAACTAATCGTCCTCTGTTTCTATAATGCGCAAAATTGTATTCAAAATGTTACCGGATTGAGATTTAAAGTAAAAACGTGGGTTTTGATATTTTTTTATTCCTGAACAAAGCAAGCTATGCTTTAAATAATTACAATGAGATTCGAATAAGTAAATTCACTTCTCTTATGAAATCATGAGTTCTCACACATGTTATTAACGTTTTATATTCTGACGACGATGCTACCGATTTCCTCCAGCACAGTGCGAGTGACGGTCTCGTCGAGTTTGACGTGTTGTCAAAGGTGTCATGGAGCCTGTTGAAATCATTGCTGATCTTGAGATGAAGCTGCTCGATGGTAATGCTTTGAGATTTGGTCTGGTTGCGAGCTTGTCTCATGTGGCAGGATAAACAGCTGTTCAATGTCGTAGTAGTTACTCCAATTACTCCAATGTAGTCCAAATATTGAAGATGTCAACAACCTTCTTTTAAGCAAGTTTCATAGATTACACTAGATTCTTGAAGAACGACCGCTCCTGAGAAAGTGTTCGTCAAGAATCTGATGTATAAATTTTATTTCAAAGAAGGTTGTAGACGATTATGATCCTCTAATACGAGTCACACTAACTTTCTCTCGTACGTCGCACTAATTCAGTCACACTAACTTAGTCACACCAACTCAGTCAGTCAGTCACACCAACTCAGTCACACCAACTCAGTCACACCAACTCAGTCACACTAAATTTCCCTCGAATGTCACACAAACCCAGATAGTTATAGATAACGTTAAAAAAAAGCAGGTGTCGGTACAATTTTATTTGTAAACTGGGACAGTCACTACAAATATTTTCAATTAATTCCAAGCGAGTAATACGGTACAGGCTTTCTCATACCTAGGTCAAAAAATTAAAAAAAAATATTTTATTCTAATCATTAGAGTATTGAAATTATCAACGACTGCTCCAAAATTCGGATACTTTGAAAGAATATCAAATAATTACTCAAAATAAACATGTGGTAATCGCCGAACATGAAGGTTTAATGCATGTAATATTGTTTGCCTGTTGCATGGACTCAAATGCCAAATTGGCATATCAATCGACACGTTGATATATAACGAATTCCTGAGCCTTAATTGAGTACGAATTAGTGAAAAACAACTTGAGTTTTGATGCATTATTATGATGAATAGCGTTACTCACACAATTTTGCCGGCAGCTGTCGAATTAATCTGATCTTGATATTAATAAACTTGGAGGTAGTACTATCCTCCATTCCTAATTTTATTCAGGTGTATTCAGCCATGTTATACACAACACATTAGCTATAATACATTCCCGCATTTATCTCATATACAGCTGATTTTAAAAACTGCATGCCTGAATTCAAATTTTTTATGTTGTCGTTGCTCTATGAGTGAACTTGATCCACTTAATTTTTAAATGCATAATTAAAAATTATCCAGTCCACCACTAAAACATAAGACGTGCTCACTCATGAGCCATACCTCTGCCTTATACTCGCTTAACATGATGTGCAACTCATTGCCTCTGTGAGTCCAGAATTTTATCTCTTAAAAGAAAACTACAGTACTGTAAAAAAACATTATTACTTTCGAGTTCACAATTAGTAAATTTCGGACAGAATAGACTGCAATCCATTCACTGGGTCTTATATTCTATTTTTAATAACGGCATATACGAAACAAACTATTGACGCGAGATTATCAAAAGGAGCTTTGTTGGTTTTAGTTTTATTTGAACCTTAATTAACAACTCCACGTACAATTCGATTTAAATAATTGTCTTAACTCAACTTTATTATAATCAAAAAAGTTATTTTTTTAACGAAATTATCAAGAACGTTTAATGCGGAGTCTTAACAAATTCTAGGAGGTTCTAGCACCACCCCACATTCAGTGATCCAGATCTCCTCCTCCTTATGATGTGCTCGACTGATGCACTCCTTAACGTCGTCCAAACCCTGCACAATCTCCCCAAAAGGACACGAGAAATTACGCGACTCGTCGCTCTGTGTGCAGATCAGGAAGAGGGAATTGGTCGCCTGTTGCCCCGACCCTGCGGCGGTAATAAGGCCTTCCCTCATGGGCATCGAGTAGTCGCCGTTCCATTCCAGGTCGTCGAGCAACGCACAACCTCCTCGACCGCTGTTGTACTCGTGGTCTCCACCTGAACAATGACACACGGTGTGTATTTCTGGTAAAGTAATGGTGCGTATTTCTTGTCATTAGAATTTATAGCACAGTCCTATAGTGCGTAATTCTAGGCATTAAAATTTATAGCACAGTCCTGGTTCGTATTTCTAGTCATTGGAATTTATAGCACAGTCCTGGTGGGACCCCACAATACTCTTCAAATTAAAATTGACATGGTATTAAGCGTAGGAGGATGGCTTCAAGATTTATCAACACACGAAAGAAAATAAAATTTTGACGGAATGCAAGTTGAACGTCCGTAATTCCTTAATGTGTCACGTTTTCTGAAGCCAAGTTAAATGGTTTAAACAAATATTTTATATTAATGAAAACGATGGAGTAAAACTTAGTAAAAGGTCTTTAAGTAACGTGAGTGCTTCCAAAAGCTCCATTCAACTATTTTCAACGTCGCATATTGAAAAATTTTAAACTTTCGTTGATGCTCGATGTAAAATATTTACATGTGTCGTAATACAAGTTTTCAGGTTTGTTCGAATGAAGTATCCGGTGTGACGATTCTATAATAACGAGAACGAACTACACATTAATGAAGTTTTAAATTTGCGAAAGTGAAATAGATTCCCATCCAGAAATTGAAGATGTCGAAACGGCTGAAGTTCTGCTTAGCAAAATTTTGGTAATTTGTCTTTTATAGTCTGTGATGAAATTAACTCCCGCCCGCATTCGAAAGCCCAATTTGCTATAAAAGTTTCAATTCCTGCGTAGGGCTGCTATATTTAGAAATTCAGAAGTATGAGAAAATTATTTAGTTTTACGGTGGTTAACATCATGAAAAGCATCAAATTTATATCAAACAACATAGCTCATCTTGTACGCGTTATGGTATTTGCAGTCGGATTGAGTCATACATGAAATTCAGAATTTGTATTTACTGTCAAAGCAATATATTTGACTATCATGGTATGATATAGTATATTATATGACCAGTATAGTAGAATTTGACTTACCAAGAATTCGTTCGCCTGGCTCGTTGTAGTTGTAGGTCTGCAGAAGCTTGGTGTTCAAGAAGGCTTGTCCGAGATCACCGATGCAGAGCGCCAGGAAGTTGCGTGCTCGTCGCAGTTGTCCCCACAGTTGGATGTAGACGCGACGCGCGCGTCCGCTACCCACCGTCAGTTCCAGGAACACCAAGGGGCTCTTCGAGGGGATGAGGGCATGCAGCACCGATGCCTGTAAGGCGCATGCAGATCAGAAATGGTAAGAATTGATCACATTCTCTAATAGAAGTAACTTTTGACGTCAAGCCTGCGCATGCAGATCATTCATATTCGAAATAAAACGTGTTGTCTAATGACACAAACTCTAGTCTGCAACACACATGCAGATCAATTATAAATGGAATTGACCCTCATTGTCTAATGACAGTAATATTTCTTCCTACCATGAATATGAATAGGAATTGTGTTGACGGCGGCTAATTTACCGTCAACGAATTGTTTCGGATTTTTAAAGCCCCAATTCGTCTTTTGATTGTGATAAACGATCGAAGTTTTTATGCAAAACACTTAACATTTATATCTCATGTGATGATTGAATTTTAATTTGGATGATTTGAAGCATTGAATTCAGCAGTGGAATGGCTTCGCTATTTAATTTTAAAAATAAGGTAAGTAAGGTAAGGCTTAATTTTTATTCATTCATGTGATTGTGGATTTTAATTTAGTTTAGGTGAGACAGAAGCAATGAATTCAAAACTGAGATGAATCGCTGTCGTTACCTTGATTGCAATGTCGTAGTCTAGTTGTTGGAATTGATGGCAGTAAATATGAAGACCTTTTGGTTCCCACTTCAGCAGCGCAAGTCTACCTTCAGAACCTTCCACGCAGACTTTGAAGAGAGGCTCCTTCATGAATTCAAAAATGGAACTCGCGTCCGCTTCTTTCTTCTTGAGCTCATCGGCTTCCTTTGCCTCCTTCTGCTCCGGCGTGAGCTCGCCTGCGTACGGATCCACCTCTGCACTTTCATCTTTGGCTTCTCCAGCATTTTCGTCCTTGTCAACGCGTTCTGGTTCACCATTAGCCTTCTCTTTGTCTTCGTTGTCTCCCACAATATCGGGGTTACGGTTACCAACTTTTGTTTTTTCCTCTACTGCACTTTTGGAAGTGTTTTTGCTCTCAGACTCGAGTTTCGCGCTCTCTGCATTTATTTTTTCAGCCAAGTACTTCCGTGCAAGCTTACCACGTGGCTTTTTCAGTATTTGATTCAACCGTTCGAGTTCCTCGTCTGCTGCTTTGTTTTTGGCTTCAATTTCTTCTGCTGTTCTTTTTGCTTCAGCCTCTTCTTTCTCTATCATTATTCGTTCTTTTTCTTTGGCAACTGCGTTGACTGCAGCAACAGCAGCGTCTGCAGCTGCCTTGGCCTCCTCTTGCTTCCGTTCCAGCAGTTTTTTGTCTAATTCCTTTTGCTCTTCTTCTTCTATTTGCTTCAATTTCTCTTCTTCCATCCTCTCACGCTCCTTATTATCCATTTCCACGATTTTCTCCTTAATTCCATTTATTTCCTTGTCCATGCTAAGAGGCTCGAACACTGCCAGTGTCTTGGACTTCTTGATACTCACTCTTCGCTTGGGGTCTTTGAGGGCTTCGGCCTCGAGGGCTTTTGAAGGCGCCACCGGCTCCGGTGATAAGCTCTTGTTCGTTTCATCTTCTTCTTTGGTTTCTTCCTGAATCTCTTCCTTCTTTTTATCATCTTGTTTGTCTTCTTTCACCTCTGGGATTTCAGCCAATGAGATTTTCTTTTTCTTTTTTGATCCCTTGATTTTTTTAGTTTGATCTTGGTCATCCTCCTGTGTCTCTGGTTCGTCTTTTGGCTTCTCGACCTGCTGCGTGCGGTTGTAGTTCGCATCTTGAATGTTCCATTTGAGTCCTAGAAATTTGGCGGCCTCAGCCAGTGAAGTCGCTGCACTGATGCCGATCTCTTCTTCTTTGGTGCCTTTCATCAGCTGACGAGCCTCACTCATGTCTTTGCGCAGTACCGTCACGTTCCTGTGTTGAGTTCAAAATATTTTAATTTGACTCTACAAATAGCCTCGAATGAGTCAGCATCTATTTTCAACAGCCATCGGTTTCTTTGCGCATCCATTAATTAAAAATTTAGAGCAAAATGCCAGAGAATTAATTTCTTTAGGAGGCAATTAATTGCAAGGGAAACCGAACAAAAATAATATACTCGTGCTTATGGCGTAGAAACTGTAATAATTTCTAAGGTTGTCTCTCAGAATGACTTGTAACTTGTTCAGATAGCAGTCGTGAAAAGAATTTCAATTGACAAAGGGAAAAAGTTAAACCACGCATAAAATGATAAATTTATGAAAAATCCCGAATATTGAATGTTAAAAGCAAATGAACCGACAAGAAATGAAAACAAAACTGGAAATCCCCGTGATTTAGACGAAATAACTGGATGATTCAATTTGCTACGACACTTAATCGCGCGCATTTTAAGCCAGAAATTAAGTGCTTCGTTTCACTTCTGTATCTTTTTCAATGACATTTCAACGAAATTAACTCACGTTAAAACTTTTTTTCAATTTCATCTCGCTCAAAGAAATCTAACGTTTACATATAATCACCTATCAGCCCTAATTTCTCATCACCTGAGGGACTCATCGATTTTCTGTGCACTGGAATAAACTGTGCGGTAGTAAGCCTGTTCTCTGGTATCCAGGGCCTCCATGAACTTGCATGCCACGTCCTGGACGTTGTCTTTGATGTTCTGGATGTAAGTGGCGGCACGGATGACGGTGTGGCTGTGGGTGGGGTGGTCCTCGAAAAGACATTCACCGCACGTCGCCTCGCTGCACGTCTTGCACCAAAACGATAGTTTCACTTCATGTCGCTTGCAGTTGTCCAACTGTGAAAACATGAACAAATGTGAATAACGAAGTAAAGTCAGTTAAGCAACAGTAGAGTCTTTTTTTCTTGTTGATCAATTACAACGAAACGTGTAACGAAAAAAATTTAGTCACCCATGAATTTGCACTTTTACTGATTTCTGCGTGCAGCAGTCGATGAAAATCCTTTTTATTTTTCTTGCTCCCAATTCTTTCACTATGTGTACTAATTTAATAACCTAATCCGCAAAATTTAAATGGTATCATTAATAACATTTCTCATAAAAATCAGGATCCTGCGAGTAAATCACACGATAATATCAGACTCGTGCATTGAGACCTTTTTACATGTGACTAATATTACCCATAGCTGAACTATTACCCATAATTAATCACATAGTGTGTGGAAACCTACACATGGGCTCATTATAGATTAATGTGATTAATGGGATTAAAAATAGTTTAATGGGATTAGTGAATGGAGTTGTCATTCATTCATTAATTGATAATAATACGGTGGATACTCCAAAATTGAAGAAAAAACCCCACCAGTGACGGCGCGCGCGCACATGAGCCGAACCTTAGTGTTTTCCTGCGCCGCGATAATGGCCAGAAGAGTAAACTCTGTAGGGAGGCGGTGCGCTGAGTCGACGCGCTGGTCAGTGCGGCATGTGGGGCAGATGATGCAGCCGGCGGAGAGCAGGAGTGTCACGCAGGGTCGGCAGAAAGAGTGGCCGCAGCGGGGCAGCAGCACAGGCTGTCTGTCCACCTCACAGTAGCGCTCGCAGCACACCGAGCATGTCAGTAGCTCCTCCATGGCGCCTCAAGGCTTTACACGATTTGTAAATTTCCAGGACTTGTTGTTGTTTATTTGTCTTTGAGGATGAGGGCGGACTTGTTATTTTTGGGGGTTAAACGAATCTATTGGAAAGTTAAGCCGAATTTTAGGCGTAACTATGCAAGTGGTAACTGAATTTTTACAATTACCACAAAAAACTTATTTGAAACGTAATAAACTTTTTTAAATCAAATAATAAGCTTATACAAGCCGGTTATATATAAAGGCTAATTCTGTAACGTTAGAATCAATTTAGACTCCCAATTAGTATAATCTTTACCGGTTTCCTGCACTCAACTGTAGAAGAGAAAATATAAATAAAGCAATGCAACAGCTTTTCATTAAGGATCTTACTTTTCACCACATCAATATCGTTTGGTTCGAATTAATGGAATAAAAGCTAATTCATAACTTCTTTGACCAGTAAAACAGGATTGTTGTGTATCGACAATGCATTGATGTCATTATTCTTATTTAACTCATTTAATCCGCGTCTATATCATCAATCATGTAGGTTTTTAGTGCATAAGTGATTTGAACGATTATGTTTAATTTGTATTGACTGCAATTTGAAAATATTTGCGAGCCAAGTAGTAGAAGCAAAATATTACTACCGAACACTCGTATAGTTTATTGACCGTGCATCCGAAATTAGTAGAAATAAATTTAGGAACATGAATTTTGATCTCGAACACGTAAGTTGACCAAAATTATATCTCCGAGACAAATACTTACGACATGATGGATTTCTTATATTTAGGACTTAGAAAGCTCGATAGATCATAGTTGTGAATGGGATCTCTGAAAATGATTTCATTAATTCACTGTACAATGTCGAACATATTTATTAGTTGTACAGAGTTAATCAGTTACGTGCTAGTGTTAAGCTTCGGAATATGAGCAATTACTGTTGCTTTTATAGTTGAATTATATTTCTAGTAGAATATTCCCATGCAAATGTCATCCAAATAGGAGCATTGGAACACGGTTAAAAAATCATGGTTTGAATGTGAGTGACAAATTTAGAGTTTGAAAAACTAGCATAAGACGTTCTTCTACACATATTTTGTTATTTGAAATTCGAAAGTGATTTTTGTACATAAATTTAAATGGAATATAGAAATTTCACAAAACAGTGAGTTAATTGTAGACAATTCAAAATGAAATTGGCTCCCATAATTTCAATGATTGCCTACACATTATTATGGTCCGAATTATTTTCCAAACATCGCCGTTTCCTCGTATTAATAGATAAAGTTTTAATCTATGTATACAAAGAATATTTCCGCCCTAGTTTAAATATTACTTCATAAATACACACAGAAACAAATTAGGTTGAGGTTGTATACTCCTCGACAGTAATGCTCATTGCGAGAATCAGACAACGCATCAGAATATATAAAATTATTCCTTCTCCATGTATTTTTATAACAGAAAAACCTCTCTAGCATAGAACTTTTTTGCGAGGTTATTAATAGCGGTATTACACATGCAGCTAAATAGGTCAGCTGTAGTCAGGCGTCTAGCAGCTATGGCGTTATTTTGCTGGGCAAAGCTAACTCATTTCATCGCTTGAGCGTAATCGACGCGCTTCCGCTTTCGGCACCGCAATTTCTGAATGAAGAAGGTCGCAATTGCAGTTACTTTTTACTCAGAATTAACCTGCACCAAACATCCACGCAAGCGCAACATTCTCCAAAAATCCCAATGTGCATCAATCAGGCTCAAGGTATATAGATGTGCTGCACACATCTAGGGTAAGTTGATGGCTAAAAGAATGGGCACGAAAATCGTTATTACTAATATTCGGCTCAAAAATATCCATCAATATTCGGCTCAAAAATATCCATCAATATTCGGCTCAAAAATATCCATCAATATTCGGCTCAAAAATATCCATCAATATTCGGCTCTAAAATTTCCATTTAATAATAATAATAAAAAGCAAAGTTAAGAGATGGGGAGGCCTTGAAGCTGTACCAGTTCACATGTATAGTCTTCCATAATATTGTGATGTGTTCATTTCAGTGCACAGTACTGTTGTCATAACGTAAGTAAATTCATATCGGTAAAGCAGCAAAAAAAATAGATATTTTAAATGACAAGCATTGTCATTTTACAAATGAATAATATCAGGCAAATTAGTTTGTACAGAAGGAAAGAAGCAGAAAATTAATATTATTTTTCAGTTGGAATAGAATAACTTAGAAGCCACCAGTTGCATACTCGTATAGAAGAAGTGAGTCTATGTGAACAGCTGGTCTTTGAGACGCATTCTTAAACGTTGGAAAGGAAATTATGCTAAACATTTAAAAATGTGCCTGCAGCGGGGTTATCAACTTATTCGTTACCAAACTAATTCTAATTAACCTTACTTTGCATAGGAAGTATCTCTTGGGATTCCTTATCCACCGTTTAGAATTGAACGCTATCGAACAATCTAGCTTAATTTTTTCTAAAAGAACATTGTTCGGCAACATTTTCAGTTCGATTAACATTTTGATTATACTTTATATCATAGGAATAAATCGGGCTGTAGGAAACTTTTCCGCTTTTGGTCAAATGAGAATACCGTCGAAATTACACTAAATATTTTCTAGTGTGGAGCACTTAAGGGATTCGATGTACTTTACAATCCACGCTATGCAACCCGTTGTTATAATATGTCTCCTGCCGGCGGTATTTTTCAATGTAAACAAATAAATTGTTAAGACGCGAGGTTAAAATTGTTGCAAACCACCGGACGTTACGCCAAATTCGAAATTTTTTAACATAGATTAATGCACAAATTAAAAGAGAAAAAGAATGAATCAATACACGACAACGTGTTATGAATTTGGCAGTACTCGTGCTATAAATTACTGCTTTAATTACATTCCAGTAATCGATTTTTGCTGGAATTTTGTGAGCGCTGCTCACGATTTTTTAAACTTTAATTATATTCACTTTCATTATATTCCCTTCAACATTAATTATTTTTATTTATTTATATTTAATTATATTCATATGAGGCTTGCAAAGAATTTTGTGACCAACGAAAAACAATGATGATTAACGAAGCATCAGAAATGATATGTAATCAACCAATTATTCCGTCGTTGTTCCACGTACATCTGAGAGCTTCATTTCGTCGACGGTGAAGATGTACTATGAGCACCACCTGGCCGTGAGCCAGCTGCGGGGTGTGCTGGGACTGCACAATACTCATGCATTACTGGGCGGGTATGGTGGCAGATGGTGTGTGGGAGTACATATAAGAGTGTATGGTGGCAGATGGTGTGCGATAGTACACATAACTAGGGTACATGATGGAAGATGGTGTAGTGTTGGTGAGTACACACGATGGGCACATGTATTTGAAAATGATGAAGCAGTTTCGAGGAACGGCTCAAGTTGGTGATGGCTATCTATACTCATTACGTCAGTGGCAGGTGATATACTGTATGTACTGCAAGTGATTGCCCCCTACACCCATTACGTCATTGGTAGGGGTAGATAAGTGAATGTCGCCTGCACACATTACGTTTCTGGCAGGTGGAGGCCTTCTTTTTTCTTGCCAATTTACTTTTCACTTAGTGCCACTTACTCATTTTTATTCTAAATCACAGCTACTTTTTTTTCTTGCCAATTTACTTTTCACTTAGTGCCACTTACTCATTTTTATTCTAAATCCTCATGACACTAAGCGCTGCCATTCTGTCTACCCCACCTCTGTGGCACTCTGTGTTTACCTATTATTATGACACTCATAAGTAAGCGCCACTTAATATTCTTTTTATTTATCCTTCTACTTAATGTCATCTTTCGTAATTTAGTCATCCCTTTATTTGCTCATAAGCACAAGGTGTAATTTACCTAATTTTGTGAAAAAATCACATTTTGCTGAAGTGAATTTCTTTGCTATTTTTATTACCTTTGATAAATAATCATTGGCACCTAAAAAATCTCAATTTAAAATGCACGTGTTGTAACCATGTTAATTCCTAGTATATGTACTTATTAATTTAGAGTTCTGATGACGCGCGTAGAAAAATTTCATTCAACAAGACTATTTTTAAATTGAAATTTTACTATCGAAATCTATCGTTCAAATTATGTATTTAACAAAGATTGAATTCCATACGTACCTTGTTTTACTTCTTATTTGTTAATTTTATCTTGTCTCTTGAGTCATGCTTAAACGCGGTGCAGTTGCTTAAAGCCACGAAGACAAAGTAAATCTGATATTTACAGGCTTCGGTCTAAATACCTGCATATCTTAGGGATATTAAGTTATTGCATTTGTGTTAAAGTCCAGGAGATTTGAGCAGAATGCATTTGAGCAGAACGTTTTATTTTTTTATTTAGTTTCAAGATATAATCTGATATTTAATAAGCAAGACAGTAGTAAAGAATGAAAACTTTGTATTAGCGAATGTTTTGGTGACCCAGAAGCGGAGGATGTAGATACTTGGATGCATTGAATCATGTATTGGATTTGGATCGAAAAATTTAATTATGAAAAGTATTAATTGAAGAACCAAACAAATGCCAGGCTCTTCCAGCTACATCATCTGAAAATAATCACGAAATCAATCTCTTCACTACCACAAAAGGCTTGCTCTTTTGTACGGAGTTATTAACGCAGAATTACAAGTACTCATCGAATGAGGGTCGCTTTTCCCAATAAAAGACAATGAATTAAATTAATATTGTTTATTTGAATAAGCGAGAACGCAAATTGTTGGCTTATCTATTGTCACATACGTTGCATAATTACTTCTGGCTGCGTCTTGCCCGTATTACTACAAGACTTAATTAAATGTATTCAGAAGAACTCTAGTCCAGGGTCAACCGAAATAAGGGTATCGCGCAGCTACCACTTGTTGATCTCACTCAATTACCGCGTACCACCAGGCACAACCCGCGGAGCACTAATACAACTTATTAGCAGATATTACGAATCATTAGTAATATTTAATTTACTCAGAGGCTAGTAAAATGATCGTGGTATCAGTTTATCATTTGAATTTAACGGCAGGCAGCTGGGGCCAGGTGGGTGACGTGCGGCAGCAGGGTTTAATCACTTCTTGATTCTCTCGTGTTAGGTAGTGAAAATTTTAGCGAATAACACCAACATAACTAAAAATCGTTCATGATCCTGAAAGTGTTTGCCTACATCTATGGTGGCACGCGTACCGCAGCTTGGTACCCTAATTGTCGTAGATTGTAGAGAAACTAATCAGCCGATGCCGTTGAACCATCGAGGAGCAGAAAGAATCCAGCTCCGTCCGATGGCAACATCGTGGTCATGCTTCTTACGAGCGGTCACTGTTCTTGTTCTAGAAAGTAAAACGTATATTTTATTGTAACAAACGATGTTTAATGCCTGAAAACAAGACAACGATCACAGTCAATAGACGCCGCAAACCTGCTACAGGCGGCGTACTATTAAATTCAAACCGTAAAATAGTAGTTCGTTAACGGTTTGAATATTCAAATATTTCGCAGTTCGCGCATTGAGCAAGATAAAATGCTACATATGCTTCAAATTATCAAATAATTTGCTTTATTAGTTTATGGTTATTTGTTTGGAATGAAACATTCAAGCAACACTCGATCGCAAACTTTGAGAAACAATTTAAAGAACCAACGCAATTGTATGGCCGAAATTTGATTTATTAACATGATGATTATTGCCTAGCACCAGAGTTTCCTTGTTTCCTCGTTGAGAAGAAGGTTAAATAAATCATATAAATATTTTCAAGAACATAGGTGGCTATTATAAAAACTAAAATATGTAAAATATTTAGTTTATATTGACCATAGTATGGCAATGTGTGAGATTCCAGTGTGACCTGGGTCGATCTCGTGTTTGGAATAAATTTCTTCTAGCGGCGTAGTTAAAGCAAGTGAATAAATGAGGTCTCCTTTAGTATCGAAATCATGTTCAGAATATAGCAATTTGTAGGAATGAGAATGACATGAGAATTCTTGAATAATAATATCGGGTGCTATATTAACATGTTATCTATGTAACATTCCGGACGTGAATGCAATTTCAAAACCAACTCTCCGAAAACGAAATTTAAGAATCATAATATCAATGTTGAAATAACGTCATAGAAGTAATATTCGTTAAATATTGTTCGGAATAACGTTGCTTCAACTTTCATTTTGGTAGTCAAGATGCACCATGATTCATGAGTTGTTAACTTTAAATATTTCACCTCCGATTTGACCAGAGAATGCTGGATAGGTAAATATTTCCTCATTTTATTTATTAGGCTTAAAACTTCATTTAATGAAGAGAAAACAAACTAGAAATACATGATTTCCTCCTCACCTTCTGATCACTGAGCAGAGAGCCTCGCAGAAACTGTTGGGAATAATTTTAGTAAATTATTGCAGAAATTATGAAGTATATGTCAAACACATGCGCATATGATAAACTTTGATAAAAAATTGTTCCTTAATATCGCTCAAAACTAACTCTATTTGCTGATTTATTGATACTGAGTAGGAAAATAACCGAAGTTATAAGAACAATCAACTAAAAAGTTAAATAACTTTCTTTCCATTTAATAATAAAGATAGTTCTAAGATCTAAGTAGTAGACGGTGTAGTAGTCTAGTGTAACAATAAATATTGAAATTTTTAAATAAATTCTCCAGATTTTTCAAAATGATCTCCAAAAAGTATTTGATATAATGCCCATTTCCAATGAATCAGCATAATTAACCGACAAAATCCTTTAACCATTGATAACAATTATTTTATCTCCCTGCTACAAACATTTTCACTCATATAAAATAAGTTAAACTCTGCATCATTATAATTCAACGAACAATCTCGACGACCTTGGGCAGCCCGAGAAGCGAGTTGATGATCTCAGAGTTCCTTTTGCCAGGCGAGCGCGACGGCGGCGCTACGAAGCCTCCCGCCCTTGCGGTGCCCTGCCTCTCCCTCTGGTCGTAGAGACGCTGCACCTTCGTCAGCAGCTCGTCAGCTGCCCCGCCCTCCACCAGGCGCAGGATACTCGACGCGTGCTCCCCGATAGTCTGAGCGATTTTGAAAATGCAATTATGACAGTAGGATAAAAAAGTTTTATTTTTGAGACGTAGGAATCAAGCACAGGATACTCGACGCGTGCTCCCCGATAGTCTGCACGATTAGCATATCATTTGGATAGGCAATTATGACGGTAGGATAATGTAATTTATTAATTATAACGTAGGAACCACGCGCAGGACACTCGAAGCGTGCTACCCGATGGTCTGCGCGATTATAGCATATCATTTGAAAAAGCAATTATGACGGTAGGATATAAGAGTTTTTTTGAGACGTAGGAACCAAGCACAGGATACTCGACTCGCGCTCTCCAATGAATGCATTCCGAATTGGATTTCTATCACAAAAAAATTAGATAAGAAACAAATGGCAGATGAATATAAGTAGTTTTAGACGCTGGGAAGAACGGTTTGATAGCTCTCCCTGGAAGGCAGACACCGGTCCATGTTGAAAAATGAAAATTATGAACACTATTTACTGGTAAAAAATAATTCTCATATGAATTAAGGTGATACATTTTCCTGTAAGCCTGCTAGAAATGAATGAATTTCGCTGATCGCCAAATTAACGAAACTCTAAAATAGTTCATTTGATGGATTTGGCGAAAAAATTTTCTGGGTAAATTCATTTAATGAAAATATTGCAGTATACTAATGTAAGCAATGTGCGGATGAAATAAAGGCCCAATGAACGGTCTGTTTTACGTTCACCGGATAACGTTCAAAAATCGAGAATCAAAATACTGAAATTTTTCATTTAAATGCAAACACCTTTATTGGTAAGGATACAAACTTTTATTGTAACGAAAACACCTTTAACTGTAGCGAAAATAACTGCAACTTTGACGCAATAAATACAATGGATTATCAAATGGAATGCAAATCTGTTTTACGTTCTCCGCGATAAAATCGGGGTAACGTTCAAGAATCGATGATAAAAATCCTGAAAAATTTCATTCGAATGCAAGCACCCTTATTGGTAAGGATAAATGCTTTTATTTTAGCGAAAACACCTTTAACTGTACCAAAAATAACTGCAACTTTGACGTAATAAAATACAACGGATTAACCCATGGAATGCAAGTAATCATACCAGTCTCTCAGGCGTCGTCAGAGCTGACACAGCGATGTCAGCAATATCAACTTGAGCTGAGACGCTGATTAGCAGCGCTAAGCTGACAAGCAGGTGAGCTGACAGGTTCATCATAGCTGACGTTGTTTATGTTGTTGGTGCAGTTTGGTATGCCTCGTCCGTTGATAATATCTTGATAATTAACCACTTTTGTAATTGTTTCACTAAAATTTTTGAGTTTTTGGAGTGAGATGAGGCTCTGCATGGAAAGGAAAAGAAAACCATTTACATGGACTTAATGAACATAAAGAAGTTTACTAAATTTTCAGGGTAACAAATTTTTTTGGTTTTCCTGAACATTATTTCCAGTTACGTATTCTTGAGAATTAAGAAGTCTTCCCACTAGCCAAAAATATGTATATTCTTTCACAATGCTTCTAATTAAACATTACAACAGTAAATAAGTATTGACACATAATTTCTTTTGCTGTAGATCATTAGATCACAAATAAACCTAATCTACTGATAAGATTTTCAAGCAATTTTTGTTGATCAATTATATAGCGAATCAACGCGATTGCCGTAAATCATCTAACTGCACTGGCCATCTTTTCAATACTACACACAAAAAGTTATAATGAAGTTCCGTTTGGAACGTGCTTAATAAATAATCACGTATATTATGATGGGGCAAAGATATAAGCAGATTAATGTATTTAATATATTGTTTATATGATGCAAATTAATCTGGTAGTTAATTCCAGTAATTATTATCAAAGAGTGTGCGAGCAAGCTGGCTCACCATGCCGCTCTCTAACCACTACTCAGGGATAAATCGCACTGACTGACAGCATTAAGCGAGCGTTACTTTTGCAAATAGAATAAAATACCATAATCTATTATAACTTGCACGGCTAGATTTGGATAACCTGAAATCAACTTAATGAATGATTCAGGAAGAATCCAAGAAATGATTAAAAATGATGCAGCTAACTTAATGTTGGTGTGGGTCAAGCGTATTCATACGAAAACCAGTAAATTCTCCTCCTCTTGAAAGCATAACTTCGTGAAAGCATTTCTTGGTAGTAATAAAAAAGATTATTTGGATTAAAATGGGACGACAATCTTACCGCTTATTCAGCGATGACTTTACGCAGACGAGCCTCAAGTCGACTGGTCAGGACTTCGATTGCCCAAAAATTCTATGTCCTGAAAGTTTGGTCCTAGTGAAGGACTTGAGAGTTTGTGGCCGAGACTGAATCTGGAGTTTATGCTGAGGCCGAGGCTGGCGTTGGATAGGACAAAATCGGGTCGCTGCGCCTCTTAAATGAGGACAATGACGCCGTGGGAGGATGCCTGGGGAGTGAGGGGGGGGAGTGAATGAGGGAAAGAGTGGGGAGTGAATGAGGGGAGAGACTGGGGACTGACATGGGATGAGCGCGGAGAAGCTGGGGGGAATGAATGAAGGAGGTAACAGGGGATGAATGAGGGGAGTGACAGAGGAGGGAATGAGGGGAGTGACAGAGGAGGAAATGAGAGGAGTGACAGAGGAGAGGATAAGGTGAGTGACAGAAGAGGGAACGAGGGGAGTGACAGGGAAGAGAATGAGGGAAGAGAATGAAACGAAGTGACGGGGAAGGGAATGAGGGGAGTTACAGAGGAAAGGTAAGACCAGGGTATGCACCTCCATACGTGGCATGAAGTGACAAATGCTACGTTGATAATTTAGAATAAAATTCCAGGTCCGCAGAGGCCTAATGTTTGTTGAATTCTGCTATAATAGGAAATAATTTAACGACAACTAAAGGCACAGGCGAGTGCAGACTTCAAGAAATGAAAAAATCAGTTAATATGACAGCAAAAATTGAAAATTAACGTATTTTTAAAGCCAAAAACAGTCATATTATAAACTATAGAGCGGCTAAAAATGAAGTGAAACTCATTCTAAATGACTTATTTAAATGTAGAACCAATATAATAAAATTTCAATATTATTCGTATACATTCAGAAAATACCCGTATGAAATTTACGCCCAGTTTCACTCTTTGCAAGATTCATTGGTGAAGCAGTAAGCGAATGTTCTGTTTTAGACAGGCATTGTTACTGAACTTGCGTAGCTCGGTTGGCGGTACAGAAGCATTTTCTGCCATTCAGAAAACCGTGCCTCTCACAAAAAATTAAAAAAACTCTTAGTGACGGATGCAGAAGTTTTCACACAGATACACACAGGAATTTTTCAGAAATGAGATTGTCCTAACAATTTATGTTCTAATATTTTTGATAATCATAATAGTTCTTGGACAATTAATGCCAACAAGTGGATAAATTCGCCTAGACTGTTAATTATGCAAGATGAAAAGCACTCTACAATAGAAAAAATGGTTAACAAGTTTTTTATCCTTACAATAGGCATGAAAATTTTGAAATGAAAGTGAAAATTGTTCAAGTACATCAAAAAATGTCACGCTGTTGGCCTGACCCGGTGAAGTTTCACTCCGTATTCATTACCGGCTGACCATTAAAAATTATCATTGGAGAATTGGCCATTAAAAATTATCGCAGTGCATTTGACAGCCGATTGACTAAGACAAAATTTACAGAGCAACAATAGCTCACTCATCATTCACTTATAATATTATACGGCATAAATAATGAGCCGACCCAACATAGCCCATAGTTTAAATTGTTTTCACGTAAACCTTTTCATAAAATTCACAAATGTGATAAAGACGCTTACACTGAAATTTCCACATTTAGTTTTAAGGTTCAAGTTTTAAAGTGATCACCTGCAACTAATTCTGACTCGAAGTACTCATTCATGAACAATTAATACGAGAAGAGGCTCAAGAACCCTCCCGAACATTTTGCATGTGGATATCAAAAAAACCTTCATAAACACTGCACATCTACTTACGAAATGTCAGGTAAGAAATATGCTTCAATCTATTGCATTATTTATGAAATTATTGAAATAGATAGTATTTATATTTAAAATATATTTCTTCGCTTTGAAATTACTGGTATAACCATACTTATACGAGTAATGAGGAAGACTTAGAGCACAAATATTTATGAATATCACCATTTTTTAAGGAGGTAATTGAGAAGCATTTGACATTCAGTGGATATCTTTAGATCTTTAGGAATATCCTAGCATGCAGTCAGAGAAATAAAGGAATCGTTTTCCCAACGGGGATGCATCCTTTGCCTCTTTTTGGGTCAACCTGAATAAGTTTGGCCCGGTAAAAGGGCGTTTCAGTGCTACGTCTGTTCCCTATACTCGTGCCTGTGGGTAAGAAAATGCGTTGAAGCGGACCTCGCTACAAAACTATATCAATAATAAAACTAGTGACATGAAGCATGCACATTTCAAACAAAACTCTCTATAAAAGTTTTGTATGAATATTTTTTTCATTCATTTCCACGAAACTTTCGCTACAAAACTATATCAAAAATAAAACTAGTAACATGACATGCACATTTAAAAAAATCTTTCCATAAAAGTTTTGTATGAATAGTTTTTTCATTCATTCCACAAAACTGTCGCTACAAAACTATATCAATAATAAAACTAGCAACATGTAGCAAGCTCATTTCATACATTAGCGACATAACCTCCTTTTAGTCAACACTGCATTCACACGCTTCCGCTGGCTCGCCTCTCTCACTCTCTTGCACGTCTTTCGAACCACAACTACGGTAAGCTGTTCTGGGAGCGCAGCCGTGGGTAACAAAATTGACTCGTAAACAGGCCCTGGGCCCAACGCCAACCATCAGCATGCAATATCTACTCATAGCCTGAGATCAATGAGCTGTGGGTAACTCCGGCTAACAGTAAATCCGCTTTGCACAACACAGCCACTGCTCCACAGCGCCGTAGCGCAACTGGCCGGAGCGCAACAGGCCCTACCGCAACAGGCGGCGCAGGTTAGGTTAGGTTACGTTACGTTAGGAGTAGCTGTTGCGGTAGGGCCTGTTGCGCCCCGGCCAGTTGGGCTCCGGCCTGTATGCGCTCCGGCCTGTGACTGAACTGCGCTGTTGTGGTGGGCGCTTTGTGTCAAAAGCCGTGAAGATGCCCGGCTGCGTTACGCTCGGGAAGGTATATGAATCGCACTGTGGACTGGGCTATGCTGACCTCTAGCTATCTACCCAGCTGTTCTCAATGCCCAGCTTGGGCGCATTGCATTCTGATTTTCTCTCGTTGCGTTTCACTTGTTGGAGCTGCGACGGATGTGATCTAGGAAAGGTGCAGGATTTTAATTTCAGTCATCGAATGCGAGGACTTAAGCTCACGTGGTAACTTGCATACTCGTCCAACTCACATCGTGTGATCAATATATTAACTGAATTTCAATGCACAGCACGTCACGTCAAGCCTCCTGGTTGCTGCCCCTGTTACATTACTACTACAACAACGTGCAACGCCACGTGCTCCTGTCTGACACCTCGTCATCACCACGTGCTCCTGACACCTCGTCATCACCACGTGCTCCTGACACCTCGTCATCACCACGTGCTCCTGACATCTCGTCATCCTACGTGCTCCTGACACCTCGTCATCCTACGTGCTCCTGACACCTCGTCATCACCACGTGCTGCTGACACCTCGTCATCGCCACGTGCTCCTGACGCCTCGTCATCACCACGTGCTCCTGACGCCTCGTCATCACCACGTGCTGCTGACACCTCGTCATCCTACGTGCTCCTGACACCTCGTCATCACCACGTGCTCCTGTATCCCAGTTCGTCCCGTGGCCGCTATCATCAAGCAGGCTCCACATAAGTTAATTATTCATTTTATCCAACCATTTTTATCTCGCCTATTCTTTCATTTCCATCTGTCTCATTCAAATCCTTAATGCGGATTCCAATGTTGAGAGCTTTTACCACAATGAATCTTGATGGATAACCTTATCATTTCAATCCCTGGCCGTAAATACGGGTATATCCTCTGAAGTGCAGGAAAACACATTAAATGTGGACGGCAAAGTCAACCTCACACAGCGTCACTATATAGACAATATAATTCATTGATTTTTCTGAGTCCATGAGTGCGCTTTTCGGATCTGAGATTGAATTTAAGGTTTTATAAAATATAAGGATCTTACCGCTTATATCATAGCGGGATTCAAACTTAAAGTGAACGGGAATAATAGATGCTCATAATATTGTTTTTTTTTTATAAGACTGCGCCTAATAGTTCTGTTGTTGCACGAAAAATCAGCAAAATGACGTACAATATTGCATATGAGAGATGAATATTTTATATGACAAGGTCAGCAGGACAGCAGTCATCTGATAGCTCTTTCAGCTAAAAGTAAAAAAAAATGAACTTCGCTAGAGGCGATATCCGTCCTTTGAAAATTTTTCACATGTATGTCTCTTAAATTTTGTCATAGGCAATAATAATAATCGGGGAATAGAGCTGGACTCATTCAGTCATTCTACGTAACCTGAAACGCATCCATAATAAAACCTGTCAGCAGTGCTTTATCGACATCTTATTGATTAGTTTGGCTTCAAATCTTACTTTCTTTGACTACCATAAAAAACGTATTTGATGGCTAATTATCCTATTTGAATATCGTTTCAATTTAGGTGCTCATCGCAAATCAGAGCTCACAGAGTAATATGGTAATGGCAGTTTCAGCGTTCATTGGGCCGTTAGATCTGCCGCAGAACATTCACAGCTTGTAGTGGTCACATCGCAGAACATTCACAGCTTGTAGT